TACCACCCAAAGATGACCCTCATGTATCACGCTTAAAGCATCGTCTCGTAACTTTAATGGAACTACGACACGTAATCCCCACATGAGATCACAACACTGAGAGTTAATTCTTACTTACTTGAAATGATTTGAAATCAGATTCATTTATCACTGGCCACCCATTCATTGTATACTCACAAACCCCGAGCAAGCGTAACATCTCGCTCCGTTTCTCTGCGTATTTGCATACTTGTTATTGGCATCTTCTCTAATTGTGATACACACATCAGATCATCTGGGTCTGTGAAATTAGGGTGTTGGGCGCAATCAATCGGCAGTCGCGAAAGCCCATCTGCGTTACAATGCTTCCTAGTATTCCTATACTCGATATCATAATCGTGACTTGCTAGGAAAATAGCGTAACGTGTCAAACGCGATGCCGTTGTGTGGGAATACTTTTCGCAGGATGGAATATTGAAGTTAGCGGTTGGTGGTCTGTGATTAAGGTGAATTTCCGCCCCTGAAGATAAACTTCTTGATGCCCCAGACAAGTCCCAATTCCTCTTTATCAGTTTGCGAGTCGTTACGCTCTGCAGATGAAAGGGTACAAAAAGCGTATGCGATTGGCGTCGATTTCATGTCCACAAAATACGACTTTCTTCTTGAAAAACTCACATTTCTTCTTATTAAGCCGGAGGCCATGTTCATGGAGAACTTTGTTGAATACTCTCTCTAGGTTCTTAAGGTGCTCCCCATCATCCCGACCTGTAACTATCATGTCGTCTAACACACACTGTACTCTGGGAATTCCCTGGAGAATTTGTTCCATTGTTGGCTGCCAGTGCAGGGGCAGAAGCCACACCAAAATTCTAGTCGGTTCATCCTGTAAAGTCCTTTGTGTGTATTGAGGGTAAGTAGCTTGCTTGATTCCTCATTCATTACCATATGCAGGTAGGCTTGTCTCAAATCAAGCTTAATGAACTTTTGGCCACCTGCTAACGTGGCAAACACATCTTCAATTTTGGGTAGTGGGTAATGTTCTACCTTCACGTTTGCATTAACAGTCACTTTAAAATCTCCACATAGTCTGACGCCTCCATTTTTTAAAAGTACAGGCACAATGGGTGTAGCCCAGTCAATGAAGGGAACAGGTGATATTTTCTCTCGCTCTAGATTCTCTAGTTCCGCCTCAACTTTCGGTCGTAGAGCATATGGAACTTTCCTAGCTTTAAGAAACACTGGGTTGACATTTTCTTTAAGGGTTAAATTCCCTTTTATACCTTTCAATTCGCCAATTCCATCTGTGAATAATGCACTATACTCATGGGTTAATGCTCCAAGCTTTGCATCTGTACTGATATCTGGGGTAGTTTCTTCTGACAATGCTAGAATATTTTGCCAATCCAACTTAATGTGTGTCAGCCATTCGCGTCCGAACAAAGGCTGTCTACCATGTTTAACAACGTACAGACGCCCGTAGTTCTCTTGACCTTGATAATTAATGTTTACGTTTAATACTCCATCTGGTGTTACCTCTTCCCCTGTATAAGTTCTTAGTCTTATCTGGGTTTCCTGTATTTTCCAAATGCGAAAACATGCGATGATAATCAACTGTTGAAATGACAGATACCGCTGATCCGGTATATACTTCCATGCCTAATGGGATATTATTAACACGGGGAGTTTCCCATATAGCGCTGACTTTACCTGGCCGTCGTCCTGCAGTTTCCAACACACAATATCATCATCGCTACTACTATCCGCAATTTCGACATACTTAGTTGGTTTTGAAGTGGTTTTAAACTGAGGGGTAATTTTGGAATGATCGGATTTAGACAAAGAAAGGCAAACTGACCTAATATGACCCAGCTTGTTACATCCATGACAGATCGCGTCCTTGAAACGACACTTATCGGGTAGGTGCCCTGATTTCCCACAACGGTAGCACCTTGCGCTAGTTTCTTTGGTATTTCGAGATTGTCTCGCTGTGAAATATACCATGGTTGGTTCAAACTTTCCTTGTTGCAATTCAACAGCATCCCGTGTAGCGGCTTCCATTGCTATGACCATATAACTGGCCTTCTTCAGCGTAAGATTAGTCTCGGCGAGTAGACGTTTAGTTATATTCTCAGCTCGCAATCCACAAACAAGACGATCTCTGAGAGCTTCATTCAAATATGCTCCGAAATCACAATGTTTTGTTAATCGTCGTAACTCTACAAGATAAGTGCTAACTGATTCACACTGTCTCTGATCACGCTTATGAAAACGAAACAGCTCGGAAATTACAAGTGGTTTGGGGATTAAATGTTTCCCAGCGTTTCCACTAGCTCAGCATACGGCTTGGTACTCGGTTTATCCGGTGCAATCAAATTCTTAAGTAGGCCAACGTTTTAGGCCCTATTAAACTCAGGAAGGCAGGTACTTTCCTTTCCTGTATGTTGTTAGCCTCAAAATATTGTTCTAACCTTTCCATGTAAGTAAGCCAACTCCCGCTGGTATCGTCGAATGGGTCGATTCTGCCTATCAATGCATTCGCCATTTTTACTATGTTGTGCTGCGATGGTACTCTAAAACTTTACATGATTTGCCCACACAGATCGTGTATATTGACAATATGTATATGTTTAATATCTCGCAAATCAGTGATAAAAACTTTATAATACATAAGTGGATTTATGTAGTCCTCGTCGCCAGTTGTGGTGTATTCGCTCGGATAACCAACAGAGCAGTCCAACAAGACATTATTGTAACTCAACCATTTTAATACAACAAAACGTATCCCCGCGCGTTCGCATTTAATTAGCTCCGCGCGTATCGTACAACTAATTAGCATATAACATAAACAATAATAGTAGCAAGCCTATACTCAAATATGCTACACATATAAAACCGCAAAACAACTGAAAAAAAGGCTAGGGAATGCAGAAGCACGTAAACGGCATGTGGTTATAAAAACTACTGGTCGAGTGAAAAACGACGGTCAAAGTCATTATTTTCCCTCAATTAATCTGAAATATGGAATGATATTTACTCCGTGATATAAAGACTTTGATTATCTACGTTGTTAGAGTTTTTAAACCGGCAGGTTTCGAATCCCGGAAGTTTATTGAGGACCTTCGTTTAGCATTGTGCCCTTAGGATTGGAAATAAGCCTATAATATATGCTACATGTATTACAATATTTTATATAAATTTCATACGTTCCAAGCTCTAGATTAATGTTATTATTTATTCTCTGACAATAATCAGTAATGTCCTTGTATCTCGTAGTAATTTTGACAGGCGACGGACGTCCATTCAGTGCAATGACTGAATCGAAATGTTATTTTGCACAAAGCATGATTTTGCATAAAAGTGACAATTATAAATCAGCCCACCGTGTATCCATTGAAGTGATACCGGTATCGTGTTACAATACAAGCGAACATACTATTATTTTTTTTTTAATTAAAAACAAAATCAGGTTATCATTTATTATAAAATGAAGGACAAACCACCTAACCAATTACAAAATTATATCATATTTATAGTAGTGAAAAATAGTGCATTCCCTATTAATAACTTTACGTTATATAATAATATCCGTAATAAGAGCAGTATACTCATTTATAATTTAATTATCTTCCCAAAATTAGTTGCAACGTTGTGTCAACTTTATGACATTCCTTAAGCCCTGTCCAAACTGTTCTATGCCAATATATAGTCATTACGTGCCTATATTTTGGTCATAATGTGATGTCCTCATGACCATATTTAGGCATGTCACATGTTTTTGTCAAATAAAATTTGATAGCCTGGACAACGTTCGGGCATATTTCGTTTGTGTTTGCAGGGGTCTAGCAATACATTAATAATCACTGGGTATTTTAAGAAAATACCGTAGGTTACATTTTAACAGCTACTGGAAGAATGATACATTTGTACTAACTTGTGTTTAGTACGCGTGTAGCCTAATGTATTTGATAATAAATATTTTTTCGTTTCTAATGTGATAGAAAAATAATTTAATAGACTATGTCATTTAGTAAGAGTAGCGTGAACAATGCTAACTACACATTCAGCACTGTGTGTTTTAGTACGCTCTCGAAATGGTAGGCCTAATGGTAATTGTTGGAGGCTTATAGCGCATAATACGTGATCCCTATAATATGTAGAGAAAACAAAAATAGCAAAATCTATTCTAGTAGGTCAAGCTAACCATGCTAAAATAATTATCCGAAACAGACTGACGGAGAGGAACCAATACCTTCTGCTGTTAAAGACCATTGACAAGCAGTAGTTAGAAGACACAAGCACTCGAATAGTGTTGGCATCTGGCCTAGATTCAACAAGAAAATTAACAGAAAACAAAGACAAATTAAAAAGAAAGAAAAAGTGTGATTAAAAACATGGAGCGAGGAGGACTTTCGAATATAGATGGGAAGTTCATTACAGAGTCTAGCAGTGAACCGAAAAGGCCTCTCTCTGTATGGCATGAGATGAAGTACTATATATTCGTTGCATACATACGTTTAATATTTCATATACAACCGCCTCAGTCATCGTCATTGTTGTAAAATGTTAACAAATAAACTGTACTTAAATATTACAAAAGTTTAATTTATTGTATAATTGAGTAAAACTGCAGTCATTCGTTTCTTTTCAAAATAACACAAGGATGTACTTCACGTGCCACTCCCATTAATGCATGAGACTGTATTTGTTGTATTTGTTATATACCATATAATAGATAAAATTAAAATATATTTATGTGAGGATTACTGAATGGTAGAGGACGGGTTACCCCATGCAACACACCCCTCCGGCATGGATATAGTGATCTTGACAGAAGACATTTATCCCCTAGATGAAGGGCCATCAGTTGGTCAAATTTTTACGAAAGAAATTTTTACGTAAAATATACCACTTTTGACGATGTTTTTACCCAAAATGAAAGGACCTACACTATCAATTCAATGACTTACTAACACAACATACGGTGCAGGCATTTTATTTCGGATTCTTTTTTTCTTTTTCAGATTATAACTTCCTGAAGACATAATGGACTATTTTTTCAGCCTTCGATTAACTGAATGTTTGATTTTAATTTTTCTTCACCTATTGACAACGTCATTACAATCACACTTGCCAGACATAAAAACTAACGTCTACAAAAAACACGGTGACTTTATTATCGGGGTGTTAGCAGATGTTCACCAACTAGATGACGACGGTCAGTGCACCAAAATTCAAGATCTTGGTGTCTTGCATCGCCTCGAGGCTATAGCATACACACTAGATCATATAAATTCCCAAAATGACATATTGCCAAATGTCACAATTGGGTTTGAGATTTTGGACACATGTGGTGAAGAGGATACATTGCTTTCTCAAGCAATGCGTTTCGTACCGCCAGACAGCTTTCGAACGGAATCGTGTACATCAGCACCAGAAACGGGTAGTTCCGACGTCGTGTCAGTCATCGGAACAGAGTGGAGTGCGACAACCATGACTGCCGCCATGATGTATGGTATTATTCACCTACCTCTGGTGAGTTACTTTGCTACTAGTGACGATCTTACGAATAAAAATCGCTTTCCGTATTTTCTACGCGTTGTTCCACCTGATCGATTTCAAATGCAGGCAATAGTTGACTTGCTGTTATACTTCGAATGGCACTACATTACTGTTCTTTACTCTGATGACACTTACGGTCGCAACGCTATAAAGAATTTAATCAAACAAATATCAAACACCCCGAATGAAAGCATCTGCATAGCTAGCAGCTTTGAGATATCTCATAATTCAATTCTGCCAAGCGATTTTGATCATGTTATTGACAGCTTAAGATCTAATGAGCCTTCCATGGTTTTGATTTTGATTCTGCGCGTAAACCAAGGCAACGGTATGCTTGGCGCCCTTCGAGAAGCAGGTTTTGTTGGACAATTTCAGATAATTGGATGCGATGCATGGGGAAGGAATATATATGAAATAAACGAGGAAAACTTGGTGGTAGCAAAAGGATCATTAAAAATTCATTTCCATGCAGTGAAAAATGAAAAATTTGAAAAGTTTTTTGAATCTTTGACTCCCGAAAGCAATGAGAATCCTTGGTTTAAGGAATATTGGGATGCTTACCTGGTATGCAATGCAAGCAATGGGAGCACAGGCATAGTAGACGAAACTAAGTGCACAGATGCATACCAAGATTGCTTTAGTAAAGAAAGCTCAGTATCCCTTGTTGTAGATGCTGTTACTACTATTGCATTGGCCCTGGACGCTATGATTAAGGAAGGTCATTCTTCTAATGTCGGCGGACAACTTTTGTATGACTATATGAAGAATACGTCTTTTCCTGGTTCAGGTGGTTTGGTCGAGTTTGATGACCATGGTGATTTACCAGGTATATATGTCATTGAGACTATTCAGTCAGTCGGCAACGGCTACCAATTTTTGCATGTCGGTACATGGGAGAGCATTGGTAAAGGGGAAAGCTTTTCAACAAACCGGCTACAGATTAATGAATCTAATATTGTGTGGTTAGTGAACGGTAGAGAGAGTGAGAGCCCTGTATTATCGAAATGTAGCCTACCTTGCAAAGCCGGTCACATTCGTATTAAGAACAATGACTGTTGTTGGACCTGTGTCAACTGTTCCGAAAACCAGATATCTACGGAAGCAGAATGCCACACTTGTCTAGACAACGAAAAGATAGATTTAAATAGAACGACATGTGTCCCCTTTGAGCCTGTATACATACAATGGGAAAATGCATGGGCTGTTGGACTGTCGGTATTGGCCTCTGTCGGGTTGGGCGTTTCTACGTACGTCCTAGTGATGTTTATCAAATATAATGGACAGAAATTGATCAAAGCATCAAGCCGAGAACTAAGTGGTATCATGCTATTTGGAGTATTCATGTCGTTCAGCCTCGTTTTCAGTATTATCTCCAAACCAACAAAGGCCACTTGCTTCGTTAATCGAATCGGTTTCATGCTCTGCTTTACGATAATATATGCATCATTACTTGTACGAGTAAATCGCATTCATCGCATCTTCAGTGCTGGAATGAAATCTACAAAGAAACCGAGGTTCATCAGTCCTCGCTCACAAATAGCATTTGCGAGCGCATTAATTTCCGTTCAGGTAAGTTATTGCGACCTAAACTTTGTTCACATATATATTTTCGACAACAGTTAGTTAGCATTAAATCCTTTTATCTAGTTTATTTATGACATAATTTTAGACTCAGGGTCAATGTTGTGCCAATAATGAAGGCTTAGGAATTGGAGTTGTTTTGGTCGTGAGAAAAAAATCATTCTTGGCTTGCCAAAATATGATGTGCTTGCATTAAATGCTTAGAAAACACAAAATATAAGACCATTACCATCCTCATTTCCAATTTTAATTATTTAGGGAAAATAATATTTTCTCATTGTATTCTCTAGGTTCTAATCAGCGGAATATCTCTCTTAATAATGAAGGCAGATACTGACATCGTTGTCGTCCAACCACATGTGAGGACAGTGCTCATCTGCAAAATTGCGTTTATCGAACTCGTAGGCTCGTTGTGTTATAACCTTTTTCTTATAATATGCTGTACATATTATGCTTTTGTATCGCGTAAAGTGCCTAATAACTATAACGAATCGCGTTTCATTAATATGAGTGTGTACACGACATTAATCATATGGCTTGGTTTTATTCCGAGTTACTTTCTCATCGGTGACACATTGCTTAGAGTCAGTGTCATGTCGCTAGTGATGATATTTAGTGCATTCGTGACGCTTTGGTTTATGTTTCTACCAAAAATATATGCGATACTATACCTAAATGATGAAAAATATCAACTCCAAAAGGTAGATCAATCATTAGAAACAATGACTAAAAACCATCCACTTAAAAGACAGGAAAGAAACAAAATAGCTCCTATAATTTAGAAAAATCAATTAACTAATTTGTTTGGAAAGAAATATGCGAGTTAAAGATGTATTGTGCCATGGAAAAAAAAAACCCATAAAATTATAATATTTGAAATTAACTTGCTCATTATACATGACAATTATCAATTTGAGTATAGAAATTATTAGTATATCTAAAAAAAAACACACAAAAAAAAACACGTTTGCCCAAATTGTAGAGCAAAAAATTGTTTTAATTTTTATTCTTATCGTTAATGGAAGTTTGGACTACAATTGACAAGTGCATAATCTGTCTCTTATACACATCTAGATGTGTATAAGAGATAGATTTTTCAGTGGGATTGAGCACTGTTTCACAAAAAATTGAGATAATATATATATATATATATATATATATATATATATATGTTACATATATATATACATCAAACGGTAGACGCAGACAAAATAAACTGCTACGATACTTTGGCTTGTAGGAGACATAGAAATATTTTATTTCCGAAATTTTCAGCAACTCCTGTTACCTTCGTCAGCGTTTGATTGTCTATGAAAAACTGAACAGAATACATAAGAATACACAATGGGTGACTAATCACCAGATCTATAAACAATAGGATACACAGTCTAATCACTAGCAATAGTTTATAAGGAGGCCTTAAGTCTGACATAAGCAAATAGGAATAAATCAATAGCTGGTCAGTGTGGCAATACTAATGAATAGTAAACAAGGAAATAGGCCTAAAAACAACAAATATAAAAAAAGAAGAAAATAAAATGAACAGTAGCCGGAGATACAAGAAATGGAGATGATAATAATAATAATAGTGATAATAACAATAATAATAATAATAATAATAATAATAATAATAATAAAAATAATGATAATAATAATAATGATGATAATAATAATAATGATAATAATAATAATAATAATAATAATAATAATAATAATAATAATATCATAATAACGAAATAATAAGGGCAAATAAAATGTCAAGTAGACACATAACAATCAAAAAAGGCATGAAGAAATATATAATATATGATATAAAAATAGAAATATAGAAAATAAAATATTGGAAAATATAACGAATAAATGAAGTGAGAATAAAAATGAACACTAAATCAATTATATATATATATGTTATATATATATATTATATTATATATATATATATATATATACGGCAATATACTACTATAGGGGAAACCTTAACAATGGATATATACATATACATATATACATACATATATACATATATATATATATATATATATATATATATATACATACATGCCAATGCGCAAGAGTGTGCGGAATTAGTTGCTTTAATTGGATTTAAATACCCAAATAGCCTTATTAACTGCAGGTCCCGGGTTCGAATCCCGATTGAGGCAACTTTATTCGCACTCACAGATTCTTATCCCTATTAATATATATATATGTATATATAAATATAAATATATATATATGTATATATAAATATAAATCATCTTAGAAATGCCTAATTTTACTGTTTCTTATGATTATTTTTTTATAATTTCTCTAATTGTTTTACTTTATATACAGTTTCAATTCTTTCTAACGTGTAAACAAATCCTTTTTGTAGTTGTGTTAATATGTTTTTATAATTAAAAAGAGGCTTTTAAAATGTTGTACTGCCTTTATTATTATATATTTTATTCTTGTTGAAATACAATAAATTATAGAACAATTATAAAAACTGAAAAAACTAAGACTTACAATTTTGATTTTAAGTAACATAATAATATACAAAACAAAAAAGGCTTGTTTGAGTCTTTTAAATAAAAGAATTATACGCTTAGTGTTTGTTGATGCTTATGCGTCTTCAAAATTCCTGAGTGATATAGTGCTGTTATTATACCGCACTATCGTCAACATTCACCGAACGGTAGTGGTCTTTGGGTCTTGAATCTCCACTGCAGAATACACGAAATAAATATATTACAAAAAAGAAAATTAATAATAAAAATACTCAATACAACCATTATCTAAAACGAAATATGTTATTAGTTTAATATACCAAGTTAAGCAAGATCCGTAAGCAAATTTTTTTTTGTGCAAACTTTTTTTTTAAACAAAGTAAATGTAAAAACAATAGAGTTGCAAAGAATACAACTGATAAATATTAAACAAAAGTATGTTTAGTCTTAGTAGTGATACCGATCCAAATTTAGGTATTAATCGGGTGTAATAACAGGCTATAATAATATAGTTTAAGCTATGTTTATGTTACTCTCGAGATGAGATAAAGTGTCATTTATAGCTGTTTTGCGTACCGCATGCATATAATGATGTGTTGCTCGTTAGAAGAGTATCTGCCATTTGAAAAAATATGGGAGAGGTCAAGGCCATTATTAAAGTGATTTTTGATTCGTAAAGTTGAAGAGTTATTAACTTCTTTTTTTTAGAAAAAAATGGAAATTATTATTTACTTACCACAGGTGTTTACATCTGACAATTTTATGTTTGTCAGCCTCACTGACAGTGTCAGGTAGTTTCTTGTTGAGCGTGTCCGGCAGCAATAGTATCAAGACTCCAGCTAACAACGATTGTGCACCAAACAGAATTAGCGGCATTACTACCAATGTTGTGTCTCCAATCAGAAGGATATACGGGGCGGATACTCCGCCAATTCGAGCGCAGACCGACGAGAAACCCAGACCGACATTTCTACAGGTTAAATATGACAATAAAACCGAAATATTGAACTTGAAAGACTAATTTCTAAAATACTGTTCTTTAGATAGATGTATATTTAAATACCTGTACCTTCGTAACGAAATGTCGGATTTAAATGATTCTTTTTACCACGTTATAACTATCAATTATCATTTTTTTGTGATCTCTCCTGCTTTGGAAAGAATGCTTTCACTGCCACCATGCTCACTACACACATTGTCAAGACATACATAGGCCCACAAGGATTCATTGAATGTTTCAATTTTCCAAATTCTTTCCGTGGTTAAGTAAAGGTAATGGTGTACTGAAATATTGACACGTGGAACTATATCACTATTGTCACTTTTAAGGCCTTATTTACACCGAGCACGGCTGTGGCATCCGACAGCGGTAAAAAAATATTGTCATGCAAAATACACAGCAATGTAATATAATATATAAGAACCAAGTATTATACGAACCTGACGGAGGTTGGGTAGAGCTCAGCTGAATATAAATATATGATACCGTAGGAGGCTGTGATGCACAGCTTTCCTATCATTGCACATATCAACACTGGTATCTTGTAATCTATAATTGAGGTGGAAATGTAGACTGTTATTATTTGTCTAATTATAGAATGGCTAGTTAGAAGAAGGGGTTATCGTGCACCCAAGGGAAACTACTTAGAAATTAGATTGTTACTGATCTAAAAATGCGTAGTGTCAGAGTGATGTACACAGGATTGACGTATATATCCCATATGTAAATCAATGACGTCATTATTAAAGTAGACCTAACTAGTATTTTCCACTAACATTATGGCATCCGTTCATCAGGTTTTGATGCAAGAAGAATTGTATATAATTTCTCCGATGTAATCTGTTATCTTATTTCAGCATATTTTGCCGATATGTATATAATGCTGCACTGAAATTATAAAAATATTACCGTATTAGCCCATATCTCAGCCATCAGTGCAGAAAATTGAACAAAAATTTATAAATTGATCGGACCATTTTCTGAGAGTTTCTGTTATGCTGTCGTCCGGATGTTAGTATGTAAAATAGTGCTACAAATTACCTAATGTAATTATATGTCAGTCAATATTTTAGATAAAGAAAATAATAATAAAAAATATTGTGATGTATTACTATCGCGTATAATATATGTAGAATTACAAAAATGCTTTATTATTACCAACCTTTGATTACTGTTGTTGACAGTAGAACGAGGCCGCCTATGACCATAAATATACATAAAAGTTTCTTCCTACCCAGACGATTCAAAAGAAGCTGTGACAATATGTACGCTGGCACCTCAACAGCTCCAGCAATGAAGAAGGAAAAATAAGGATTTGTACCCAGACTTTCTGTATGGAAAGATAGACCGTAATATACCATAGAATTTGTGAGCCTACAATAAAGAGAGACATTATGGTTTACTAATGGAAATATAAGGTAGCAAATTGATGTAGGCTTGTGAAGTCATTGTAGTATTATGAGGGCAGTAGTGCCACACTCTATGCATGGACAGTGCAGTCTTCTAGGTACGTTGAAATTAAACCGTGTTGTTTAGTTAACTTAATGACGCGGGTCAGTCATTTGTGTGTAAGTGTAGAAAGAAAGTTATCGTTTAAAAACAAAACAAAACAAAACACCAAGGTAAAACAAACGTCATCAAAAACGTATTAAAGTAAATTATTCATTATAGATTTTAAGGAATTTAAAAATGATGATTGGTGGTAATATAAATACAATTAAAAGTTTACATTAATAGGTTTATTGTCTTGAAAAATTCCAACGATTATAGATCTGCCATGCAATGTACAGTAGGTAGGTGTATACTACCCATTTTCAATTAAAGGATCAGCGCAAAAATGATTAGCCTACTTATTAAACACCAAGAAAAAAAAAACAAAAAAAAAAAACATTAGACACTCGGAAATACTAAGGAACTTCCTTCCAACTGTACATACCAGTTAAAAGAAATAAGAAACGTTTTCTTGCGCATTGTCGGTGTTATAAACAACTCTTTCGCAGTTTCAGATTCGACCTCATTGTTTTCCTGCAAACGGAAATGGTATTAAGTTTTATATTAACAACATAGTGTGAATTGAGAGTTTATACAGAAAATATTACACAAACATCAGAAAACATCATATCAAATTAGATATTTGCTGGTATGCTATATAGTAACAGAGATATTCGCCATTATACATGTCATTGTCTGCTGCCATCTATTTTTGAAAATTTCATTCTCAGTTCTAATATCAATACTATGTATATTCTTATGTTTATAGCTAAACTGATACACTGATAAAAAAGTGGCACAAATTATACTTTTATTTATTTATTAAAATTCTCATTTAACAGCGGGAAATCCGCCACTTACAAAATTGAACTTAATCTAACGGAACTGAAACGGAAGTAAGAAAATTACAATTTCAAATCGATTTTACAAGGCGAAAAAAAAACAATCATAAAAAGAAATTAAACAATCTTGTTAGTAAAACAATTTTGTTAGTAAAACATTTATATCAAAATCAATGAAATTGTCTTTATCAACAAAAACAATTATAAATAATACAAATAGGCCCTACGGGACAATAAACCATTTTTAGTAACATTGAATCGACAAATCATTCAACGGATTACATCTAGAAAGACGGGTCCGACAGCCAACAGCTCTAACATGGATTGAAAACAAATACACTAAATCACAATCAAACCTAGAATTCATACACTTATACAAAAACTGAAGATCAAACAACGAAAAAAAATGAACGAGGACATCGACAAGTAGAACCAAAAAAGAACGAAACTGTCTTTGAACTTTTGGAGACAGGAACATTGAGAGGGGAAAAAGAATTAGACATATAACACTATAACAGCATACAGGATTCAAGATGTGAATAAAGAAGAGAAACATACAAATGAATTATACTAATAGGATTCTTAACACACCAAAAATTACGTCTGATCATGCCAAGCATTCTATTGGCCTTGTTTACAGCAGCGTCAACTTCTGGAATAAAATTGAGTTATCTATTAATAATAATAATACCAAGGTTTTTATGTTGTTCAATTCTTTCTAGTAATTTTTACTTATCCATGCGATATAGGTTGTTTTTTGTTTGTGATTGTCAACACTTTACATTTAGGGATATTTAGACTCCTCTTCCATGTAGTGGTCATTCTGAAGAGGCTACAAATATCTTCCTTAGCAGAGGGATGGTGTCATTAGCAGAATTAATCATTTAATTCTTTTTTTTAATCGTTGGCAAACAGTAAACAGGTAGAAGAAAAGTAATGAGAGAGTTCATTAACGAATATGTTGAATAAGAGAGGGACCAAGATTGAAAGGAACTCCGGAAAGAACTGAAGCCAGTCGGATAACTGGCCTTGGATGACCACGGGCTGTTGTCTACCGCTAAGGTAACTGTCGAACCAATCCAGAAAGGGGGGGGGGCGAATATATCAAATTTAAAGAGTTTATGAATAAGAAGCTAATGAGAAACAAGGCCGTGTTAATAGCAAAGTATGCGGAAGGTAGTAAAGAGGCGAGGTTAGTAAGGCCATGGTAAGGCAGGATCTTTTCGGGAGAAAGTCATGCTGATAGGGAATGAGAACAGGAGAGACATGAGAAATTAGGAGAGAATAAATTATACTTTCAAAAACTTTGGATAGAGTATGAAGCAATAAGATGGGACGGCAATTAAAGACAAGAGAAAAAAAACCTCGCCTCTTCTTATATATATATATATAAATGATATATTTCCCTATGTTGAAAAACCACTTTCCAATTGGAATCAACGCGAGGCAATTGCCAGTATATGGACAAAATAGTTTCATGGCAAGAACGACACCAACATTAACAACAACATAATATAATATAATGTAAAATATTAATATCTTATGAAATAATATATAATACATAATAACATTTACAAACCTTATCGTTGAGTATATTTTGAATACCATTTTCAGGGAAAGTCGAATTGTTTATTTTCGCAATTTTTTTAAGCACCTTCATTCCCTCATCGTACCTTCCTTTCGCAATCATCCACCGAGGAGATTCGGGTATTAACCTTAAAATATTAGAAATAATAATCCACACAAATAAAGAAGAACTATTGAATGGGACATATAATTCTACACTTGAAAAAAATATCATTTTGATAAAACGAATTTTAAAGGTTCTGTTTACAGAAAATTATTAATAATCGAAAGAAATATCTAGCCAAAAAATATAGGTTGCCACTTAACATAAAACATGACCGTGAGTCTTGTGGGGAGTTTTAAACGTTAAACATATTAAATACTTTTGTGGTGTTTTTTTTTTCGGTGTGAATCCCACTAAGGATAACCCACTAAGTCCGAAGACTTGTTTGCAGTGGGGTCCTTCTGGTGGTGAATTGGGCAGTACACTGGCAAACAATCCCCTACTCTTTTCCGAAGTGTCACTGCGTTCTTTAACGTGCACAGGGCATAAACATCTTATCCGAAAGACGGTGCGCTATTAAAACACAAGGAGAGCAGCGACCTACAGATCTTCACAGTTCAGCGCACAAACAGTGGCTACCAACAGTTTAGCCGACTAAACTAAGCTACTCTGAAGAAAAACATCAATTTTTCATTGGGAGGTAAAGTTATACCTCAAAATAATTTAATGATATATATTTTTTTTAAATAAACTTTAATTATAATGAACGTTAAGAAATGTTTTGTTAAATGACAGTTTGCCAAAAGATGTTCCGCCTACAGACAATTAGGTGAATGGACACGTCATTTTGCCGATACTCTTTTCGCCTACAGGATGTTCATTTTTCTGACAGTCAATGCACCAACAACCAGCCAATTTTCCGACAATGACGGGATGTTTCGTCGAACAGCAGTTCATTGACAGACGCTCCACCGACAGAACGGACTTTCGCAAACACACTTTTTTTTCTTTCTTGTTTTGCAGAGAAGATGTTTCACCAAAAGTAAATTCGTCTATAATTACTGAATGTTTTGTTGAATGGCAGTTTACCGACCGACGTTCCGCCAACAGACCATTGGACAAATGGAATTTTGCCGAGAGGATGTTTCGCTGCCAACAAGTTCGCCGACATCCATTCTTCGAACGTCAATTCCCCGACACCTTGTTGCAATACCATAACATTTTACATAATCTTCAGTCAAAAAAATGTTATCAATAATGAAATACATTTATAAATACGCCTAAATAATTAAACATGATATATTATTTTACTTACCAATAGTAGCTAAACAATAGTATACTAGGAAGTGAAAGAGCCAACTCAATGTTCTTCCAGTCTCTAAGAGCATAAGCAACACCAGCTAAAATTATGTAACCGAATGTATAAAAATATTCAATTGTTATCCCAATAAATGTCCGCCAAGAAGGACCAACCATCTCCGTTACTGAAATAGATAAATAACAAAATTATATTCATATATATATGTTTTAAATTGTAAACATAAATTAGTTTGTATAAAAACCAATTAGGCATTTTTTACGTGATCGCTTCAAAGCACGCAATCATTTCAGATGTTCTGTGTGAAAATATTGACATTGGAGTTGATATTTCCGCGTATAAGGTTTAATAATGAACTACATTACATTACACACATGGTACCAGACGCCGTTGATTATTGTGAAAATAATTAGGAAATATCTGAAATTTACTAGAGCTTAATAAGGCCCAAATGTTATTATTTCTTGTCTATATAAAAGTTGTATTTTAAAAAGTGTAACGGTAAGCCTATTGTATGATAATTTAGAAAACGTTGCTTCACAACCAATAAATGATGAAAAGCTCAGAATGTTAACTTCTTAAACAAGCATAATGATAAATGCGTGCTAGAAATTATTGTGCATTGCGTTTATTAAGAAGATATCATCAATATTGTGATGAAAATTCAAATAGTTACCAAATACAAATGCGGTAATGAAGACACCAGAACAGGTTGACCCTACAAGGAATTGAAACACAATGAAGACAGGAAAGGATTTGGAAAGACTTGAAGCAACGCCTGATACAACCTGAAAGTAAACAGTGAGGCGTTACTTTCGCCTACAAGCTTTATGAAGATGTTTTTCGGGCAGTGGTTGCTTCCTAGGTTTTCAACCTCGTGGTTGCGCGTTCGAGTCTCATGATGTCTTCTTCCGCGAGGCTTATATTCCTCAGCTTGCACTTGTTGATATAAATATTGTGCCAACAAGCATAGGCTTTAAGTATGAGGTAATATCATCTCAATCGATGTGCCTAAACATCATCAAGTTTAAATTATTGAAGGAACCGTTACTGCAATGCACCTTATCTAAAAAAGAAATATTTTTCACCACATTTTCTAATTACAATTCATACATTCCTGTATGTAGCTCACTCTTTGGTGAGATTGAAACATTACCTGGATAATTAATGCTATCATAAGTATTTTCTTTCGGCCAAACTTGTCCGACAATTGGCCAAAGACAAACGATCCGATAAGTTTTCCCAGCAAAACGATGGACTTCCCTAGTTGACGCATCCAATTTTTGTCACAAACCAAGTTCCACTGGAAAAATAAGAATTAACTACTATAAAAATAACGATTATATTAATGCAATAGCTTGATAAGTTTATAACAGAAAGACATTGTTCACACCGATAAATACCTTAATGGATTCAATACATTCTTTGGCAAATTATAAAGTACAGATTTTTATCTCTCGGTTTGATCTTTGGTTGCGATAGCTTAATAAAATTCCTCCAATTCATGCATCCAGCACTGATCCAATAACATTTAATAGTATTTGGAACACCCTTAAAAAGCAAAATCATCTTTTGATCATGATGAAATATCATACGGCATTTTAAAAAAAACCCCAGCTACACATCACTTTCTCGTCACTTAATTTACCCATTGTGAACCACAGACAAGGT